TATGAAATTTTTTTTTTTTTTTTTTTTTTTTGGTACCAGGGATCGAACTCAGGTCCTTGTGCTTGCGAGGCAGGCGCTGGAACCAGTGAGCTAAATCCCCAGCCCCTTAGATGATTCTTGAAGCACACCAATGTGCTATAATGGCATCAAATGGAGTTTAAAATGTTAACTCACTGTAAAGATTCTATATCCTGTCCTGTCAAATGCTACACAGTAAACAGCAGACAGATGTCCAAGAATCCTCCTGTGCATTTTTATGTGCTGATACATAGCTCCTGGAAATGCTGTGCTAAAAGTGGAACACCCTGTGAGTTGCTTTCCTCGATGTATCTCCACTAGGAAATAAAATAATGAAAATGGTTAAGGGAAAGCCAGTATGTAAAAGCTAAAAAAATTCCAAAACAATTTCTGAAGGGTCACAAAAATCTGTTTGAGAAATTCTAAGGACCTAAGTTTCTTTCCAGTTCCATTCTGCTGTAATCAATAACATACATTTCTTACTATGGTTAAGACTTTTCACTAATTTTATTTGTAATTATTTTAAGAAAACAATGCATTGAAATTTGATACTACTTATTATTTCAACAACACTACCAAATATAACCTTTTTAAAAATTAAGTTTATTGGTACATTTTAGGTATACACTACAGTTACATTATTGGGATCTTGTACCTTTACATGACTTAGCTTGGTTCTTATTTTTCCCCATTCCCAGCCCATCCTCCCCTGTTTACAAAGACTTTATTTCCATGTTTTTCCTTTTCTCATATTTTTTCTTTTCCCTTTTTACCTTTCCCCCACTCCACCTACTTCCCCTACACTTTTAGACCTTCTCTTCCCATTGCACAATATCAATTATATATTTTGATTCTTATTTACACTTTTAGTTTTTCACATCAAAGAAACGACTCAGTATTTACACGTGTGTCCCATTAATTTCCCTAAGAACATGGCCTCAATGTGCATCCACTTAGCTATAAAGTATCTCTAGTTTCTCATAAAGTTTAATGTACAATTTAGAAATTCTGTCAAATTTTAAAAATCATTTCCAGCATCTCAAGGGCCAGCCTCACTCACCGAGATTTGGTGGGGAACCGTAATTCACTGGCATTTCAGGAGGTCTCCCTCTGTGAAGAGCAGCAAATGCAGAGCCCTTCCAGACTGTGTGCCTGCAGTCTTTAAAATGAATTTTAGATACACATAAAATCTTGAAAGTTAACCCCAAGAAAGATTTTATAGAATACTTACGTACATTGTAATAAAACTGTTTATTCAAAGTTTTACCAACTAATATACTTTAACAGAAAAGCCCTGGAGATTTATTAAGACTATTTCTGGAGGGGGGGGCTTAAAGACAGCTCAGATACAGCAGCAACAACTAACATTTGCACAGCACTTTACAATTCACAAAGTGCTTTCCACATACATTATCTCATTGAATCCTCACAACAACCCTGTGAGGTAGGTGCATTTGCCAATTTATATGTGAGGTAACTGAGGCTCAAAGGTTCCAGGACCTTGAAAGAGATCCACTGTGAATGATTACAGACGGACCATGAAACCACATCTTTTTCTCCAAGTCCCATTTAATGGTAAATAAGTATTCATTTTTCAATGCAGAATTATACCATACAATATCAAAGATGAAAGGTCTTAATCACAACTGATCCAGCTTTTCAAAAATGGAAAGTCTCGTGAGGAAATTTTTAATTGATTTATATGAAAATCCTCTCAATGTACTTGTTCCGTTTTAATGAATTTAGCCAATGCTGCTATAACTTTTGCCTCCTTAGGAAGTACTGACAAATTAAACATTTCCCCTGTTTTAAGGTCACAGACAATCCTTTACAGAAGAGCACTATGCAGATCCTCGGGTCTGAGCCCTGGTTCTGAAGTCCCATCCCTCCCTGACTTACAAGCAAATGCATGGAAGAGAAAACTGCCCTCCTCTACAAGGAGACAGAGCACAATACACATCATGAGCAGTCATGCTGTGCTAGGAATTAGCTTCTCCACAAAGACAGACCAAAGGAGGGAAGGCAACATTCTACACCCAGCTGAGCCTCAGATGCCCCAAACTAGCAGGCATGTTACGCTTTACATGAATGGACTCATTTCGACTGTGGTGACCAAAGAGCAGTTACAAGGCATTCTCCCAGGGCACTAGTACAAAACAAGCAGAGAAAACATGGCCCTATCCTGGGCAATTTGCTGAAGTGTCATCTAAGCTCCGCCAGTTCTAAAGTGGGCACTCATCACAGAGCAACAACATGGAGCTGGACACAAGAAAACAAAGAAAAACAAGCTACCCAAGTAACTACTGTAACAACCTACAATACAGTCATTACAAATAAATGGGACACAGAACAGTTTTCCTGATCGGAGCCACAGTGTGGCGTGCTATGGAGCACTAAAAACAACTGAAGCCGACAGTCCCATCTGGCATGGACTGAAGGAGGACTCTTTTCTAAGAGGTTCACACTGCTGTGCATCTGAGAGGAAACATCCCATCGGCAACAGCTCTTACAAAAAGTAATCACAGGATGGGTGTGATGTATGCTCACGGTCAGAAGGGCCAACAACCTTGCCCGTTAGCAGTTTAGCCATGGGTATGTACATACATCGAATCACATACATATTCTTAGTCTAAATCATTTATACCAAGCTAACAGAAAAAGAGTAGCAATTTCAAACATTTTTCTAGGACATAACTTTGCAAAAAAATTAGTGAAAAAAGAACCATGCAATTTTACAGTTTTGGTGTTTGTTTTCAAACTGCTACCACCAAATTTAGAAAATCACTTCTCCCTTATGACAAAGGGCTTCCAGAATCTAAATATCAAAAGAAATACTTCTAGCATTTAAAGAGTTTATTAGACACATACAATTACATTCAGTGAAGTTATGAGTGAGCTACAAAATGGAAAATTAAGAACTCACATTAAAACCTCAAACACATCTCAGAATAAATTCAAGCTTTTAGCTTAACATCTGTATCTTTATCAAATGTTTTAAATGCAGAAGGACTCATTAAACACTTATGTAATAAAATTCAATGTTCTATGCTAAATGCAGAGAAATTTATAGTCCACAGCGTGATTTATAGTTACATTATCACCTTTCTTCCACAACGCTTACATTACTTCACAATTATAATAATTAGGAAATTATTAATACAAAGCAGAACACTTCTTCAAATTAAGGTACCTTTTGCTGTACGTAGCAAAGACTGTCTTCCTGCACCAAGTAAAGAAGTGACTCTTGAAATACTGGGTGGAATTTCTTTATCCAGCATAGGACCGATGCGCTGGCAGATTTGCAACAGATGATCAGGAGCCACATGCTTATTAGACAAGACCTGGTTGGAGAGTTAAGTTTTAATAACAACACTGTTTACAATAATATTAAAAAATAGTAAATATGTAGGGATAAGTTTAACAAAATTAAAAACAAACTAAAAAGTATAAAACATGCTGAGATTAAAGAAAACTTAAACAGTAATTAATCTATGGATTCAAACATCCAAATCAAAATTCCAGCAGGGAATATTTAAGAAATTGACTATTTCATTCTAAAACGTATATACAAATACAAATGCAAAAAAAAAAAAAAAAAAAACTAAGCGGGGGCCGGGAATTTAGTTTAGGGATTCTGCCCCCTGCCTCACAAGCCAAAGGCCCTGAGTTTGATCCCTGGAACCAAAAAAATTAAAAAATTAAAAAAAAAAAAAAAAAAAAAGCCAAAGCAAGCTTTGAAAACTAAGTTTCAGGACTAAAAATACCTAATTTTTGTTTTGTTTTGTTTTTGAGGCAGGGTCTCACTTTGTAGTTCAGGCTGACCTTGAGCTTACTTTATATCCTAAACTAGCCTTGAACGCATGGCAATGGAAATCTTCCTGTCTCAGCCTCCTGAGCGCTGGGATTATAGGCATAAGCCACCATCCAGCTTCGGTATCTGATTTTCTAGACTGTAATAAAACTAATAGCCTAACTGTAATCAGAACAGCATAATATGGGAATAACATAGGAAGATCAATGGAACCAACAGTCCAGAAGGGCATCTACACATATTTAGGGCATTTGTTTTTTAAAGGCAATTCTGTGGAGATAAGACAGTCTTTTCAACATATGGTTCAGGTACAACTGCCAAAAAAAAGAAAAAAAAGAATTTTATCCTTACCTCACAGTATAAACAAAATTTAATCCCAAAGATTGTATATGAGCTAGAACCACAAAACTCCCAGAATAAAACATGAGAAACACTATGACGTGGAATTAGGCAAACATGTCTAATACAGCACCAAATGGACTTCATCAAAACCAACAACTGCTATGAGTTTGATCCCCAGTACCAACCAACAAACACACAAAAACCTACCAACTGCTGGACATGGTGGATGGTGGTGCATACCTGTAATCCCAGCACTTGGGAAACCTTGGGACTAAGAAGATTCCAAGTTCAAGGCCAGCCTAAGCTACAAAGTAAGAGCCTGACTCAAAACAGAAAGATTAATAACTTTTCTCCCAAAGTTACTGTTAGAGAGAATGAAAAGATAGCTACAGACAGAAAACATTTGCAAAGCATGTATCTGATGGACTTGTATCCAGAATATATAAAGAACTCTGAGAGTTTAAAGTTCTCAATAATATTTATAACCCAACAGCCCAATTTTTTAATTAAGCAAAACTTTGAAGACACAAAGAATATAATGCAGATGCAAAAAAATGTGAAAAGATGCTCAGCTTCAAGTAATGATACGCTACACGCCTATTAGGATGGCTAACATTAAAAAGAATGACCAGCCAGACATGGTGGCGCACGCCTCAGACATGGTGGAGCACGCCTGTAATCCCAGCACTTGGGAGGCTGAGGCAGGAGGATCGCTGTGAGTTCAAGACCAGCCTGAGCTACATAGTGAGCTCCAGGTCAGTCTCACTACACAGTGAGACCCTGTCTCAAAAAAACAAAAAATAAACAAAATAAACAAAATAAAAAGAATGACCAGATCGACTGTCCAGAATGAGGAGAAACTACTGACGGCACTGTAGAGTACAACAACAACTTTCTGAAAATGGGTGGTTTCTTTAAATTACACATACACTTCATAAATTCAGCTGCTCCACTCCTAAGTATTTAACACGGAAAAGTTAAAGCACACATATACATGAAGGCCTGCAGTTTCCTCTGAATGGAAAAAGAGAATACAATCCAAAAAGTGCTGTAGTAAGTGGCTGAGACAGGAAGGGAGAGATGAATGGAACTGGAAAAATAATTTCAAGTACAACCTAAGAGCTTCTCAGCAATACAAATCTGAAAACACAAACAACACTAACCTAAACAATATACCTGAAAGGGTTAAATATTTAAAAGAAAACCTCAGGAGTCACTTTTCTCTAGCTGAACAGTTCATTCAGTTGTCACTGTTCAGGTAGGTAGGGAACTTTTACAATACAACTAAATTCAAGTTTCGAAGTCACATAAACAAGCCTATCGAACAACGCAGACTTGTTTTTAAAGAACAGACCTAAATGGTATGAATGGAAAAAAGGTAATTGAATAGAAATTTATTCACTCTGGTGGTACTGAGGATTGAACCAACTGAATCCAGGGTCTTCACATTTCAACAATATCCCCAGCCCTTTTTAAAGACACAGTCTCGCTAAGCTACCAGGGGTTGGGCTGATACGTGTAACCTTCCTGGCTCAGCCTCCCAGAATGCAGGAATTACAGACCTCTCCCACTGTAGCCAGGCCTGGACAGAAAATTTTAAACAGACTGATTCCCAGTGTTAGACATGGTCTTATGTTACTACTTAAATTATCAAGAAGGAGAACTTTGCAAATATGCAGATTATATTCACTGCCTGCCTTGAAGAAGTAATGAAACCGATGATTAAAATAATAGGAGGCAAGTATATTTAGGAAAAGTCCAGATACTATATAAGAACATGCATTTTACATACCGGTTATAATCCTTGAAAAAGTAAATTAAAGACAAAGTGAATATCCAGAAGAATAACCCTATTTTTATACAAAACAAGGTGCATACAGAAACTGATGTGGTTCTAGTCTCTGTGTACAAAACAAAAATACAAAAGAAAATGCTTCAATAGCCTAACAACCAAATCAACACATGAATATTTCCAACAGTAACATCTATCAGAAACTTATTATGAGTGACCATGATACCAGATCCTCAGAATTTAGTTCAAACCTAATTTCATTCAACAATTAAAGAGGGGAAAGGGACATAAAAATTAAGATGTGTTACGTACATGTAACCAATTCCCCACAATGAGAATAACTAATATACTAAAAAACATGTACTCATAAAAAGAAAAATCCTTTTTTGAGACAGGATCACCCTAAATAGTTTAGGCTGGCCTGGAACTCCACTATGTAGCCTACACTGGCCTCAAACTCACACTGACCCTCCTGCCTCAGCCTCCTGAGTGTTGAAATCACAGGTGTGTGCCACCATGGCCAAAAGAGGGACTGGAGCAGGAGGATCACCCAGAGTTCAAGGCCGGCCTGGACTGGACTACATAGCCAAGACCCCGTCTCAAACAAACAAACTAAAGGAGTCTGAGTTTACTTAAGCAGCCATTCCTTCTCTCCACTTCCCAGAACCCATCTCTACCGACTCCTAACCGCAGGGCTCCATGTGATCTTCCCACTCTCCAGAGAAACTGTGAAGAAATGAGCTGGGGCAAAAGGATGCTCTTCAAACACTCCTCCTCCCCTCCCGGGCAACAAGTCAAGGGGAAATCAGAACCCTTTCCTCCTAGCGCCTCTAGGACAAGAGCTCAGGGTCTCTCTGTTGCTGGGAACGGCAGCTGTTCCTGTCAGAGGAGCTCTCATTTCACGGTGAGCATCACCTCCTGGCTCCAATGGGGATCCCTCACCTTGGTGGCACAGATCCTTCCTCTCACTGGTGTAGGTTTTCTGGCTCCCACTGGCCTTTGGGCCTTCTGGGTGCAGATCCTCAATACGGACAAGCATGAGACACTGCCGGGCTCTAGGCCACTGGTTGGCTCCCTGGAGGACGCTGCCTTGGACTCTAGGCCTTCAGTTCCACTGTGTGGGGCATGGCCATGGGATCTCAGCCCTTGGCTGTATTCTTTGGGCCTCCAGTGTTCAGTTAATCTTTTGCACTCCTTTGCATTTGACTTTTTGGGTAAATATCATAAAATAATCCTGTAAGTTACATGTCCTGTATTTAATGTATTCCCTTGCCAAAACCCTGACTACAACAATTATAGACCATGAATGAGTAGGATACATCCCAGAGATCCAAAGTTCAACACATTCAAATCAATAAATGTAACACACCATATTAACAGAGCAAAGTACAAAAACCATATGCTCATTGCAATAGATGCAGAAAAAGCGTCTGACAAAGTCCAACACCCATTCATGATAAAAACTCTACGGAAAATTGGAATAGATGGTCTTTAACCACAACTTGATAAAAGCCATCTATGACAAACCAACAGCCAACATCATACCAAACGGACAAAAACTGAAAGCTTTCACTTTAAAATCAGTAACAAGACAAGAATGTTGTTATGTCTTGTATGGAAAGCCTCAGGCTTCTGCAGGGTGGCTGAATCTAGAGAGTGAGACTGACTCTTGGTGATGCTAGGATTAAGGGTGTGACTGCTACCCGCCCTAAGTAGTCTGAATAAGATAAAAAGAGCAGAGAGGCACTATGAAGATCCCTTGTTGCTTTTGCTGTCTTTCACTGCTATGAACTGTTGTCCCTCTGCGACTTTACCTTGGAGCCAGCTGATTTAACTTTGAGCATTGGGTATTTTGTCTCAGGAACAAGAGAAAAGTAACTAAGACAGAAATTCAGTACCAGAGAAGTAGGGTCCTTGCTGTGACATTACCTTGCCAGGTGGGTTCATGAGGCTTTGGAACTAGGTTGTGGGAAGAGGAAATGTTAGGAAAGATCCAGAAATGCCAGCTGAAAAAGTACAGCTGGGGGCGGGGACTTAGCTGAGTGGTTCTGTCGCCTGCCTCAAAAGAACAAGGTCCCTAGTTCAATCTCCATACAAAAAAAAAAAAAAAAGGAGCTGGAAGGGCTCGGGATTTAGCTCAGTGGAGCTTGCCTGGCAAGTGCAAGGTCCTGAGCTCAATTCCTGCCACAGAAAGTAAAGGAAAAAAAGCAGAGCTGGAACACCTTAGACTGTTCTGTATAGAAGATTCTGGACAGAGCTCAGAAGACCACAATGCCGTTAAAGACCAGGCTCAGGAGGTTTCCACTGGGAAGGAGGACTGCACTGGCTGTTGGGACTCCAGGTGATGTGTTATGCCTTTGTAGAAAGTTTGTCTGTTTTACTGAGTTTAAGGGTGGTAGACTAATTAATCTCACAGAAGAAATCTCAAGGCA